TTATACAGTTACTATCAACGTAAAACCAAAAAGAAAAAAATCTATTAACTTTTACAACCCTCTCTTTACGCATATGTTCTTCTTGTTGTCTTTTTTTGCTCAATTATCTTGCAATTTACGATTGAAGTAGCTGTGAAGGAAAGAGTCCTTTAAACGAAAATACCAAACTAAATTGCAATATTGGCAAGGTATCCTTAGTGCAATAAACTTAGATATTATCCAGGTAATCTGTGCCTTCAACCTCCATTATCAAATCAATCCTGGAGCTAGATAATTGGGTTTGTTAACTTCCGACGTTATTGCTATCAAGTGAAAGGCAATTTCAAACTTACCTGGCAGACAAACTTGCAAGATCTGACAAGCCGTCCGTAGTAACATAAGCCTAGATTTGGATTATCAGGATTGTCACATTTGACCTTTGTCCCTCGATTGGCGCCCCGGGAGTACGCTTGTCTTGCGAAGGGTACCGTTTCTCTCCAATCTGAGACAACTTGCTTCGACTCTAAACCTACTTTTGGCAATTTTGATGACCATTTGATGACATTTGTTGACCAACCTACATTGGCTGTGTCACGGTACCGCAGCAGATATTTCAAATGGTGATGCGTGATTGAATTATGTGAGGTTTACATGGGGAGGGAGGTAGATTGACCTACATAGCGCATCTCATACTCCATTCTTTCCCAATGTGAATAATTACTGGTCCTTCAAAACGTATCGGCCATACGGGGTGTAGGAATAGATTATATGGCGGACATTGATGGTATTGAATTTTTTTTCTGCCCAAAATTTTCTGATGTTTAATTTTTTGTCTTAGAAAATTTTGGACTGGAAAAGCTATGAGATTCCTGTGGACGAGATGCCAACTGTGCACCCTGGGTACGAGACAAGCAGCAGTGAGAACCCGGCAACATACACGGGAGGACAGCAGGACAAGGAAGAGGATATTCTATCGGAAAAAAAGGTACGGAGTAAACTCTGCCCATCCTCCCGTACAGAGTCAAACAGAGCAGACGGACAGGCCTGTGGTGAAAGGTACTGTGGAGAAACGCTTCAAATATGACCAATGTGACTATTCTGCATCACGGAAAGGCCAGTTAGAAGAACACATGGCTAAACACACGGAAGACAAACCCTACATGTGTGGCTAGTGCGGCTTTAGGACGGCTGTCAGGTCTCACCTATCCAGGCATATGAGAAAACACACAGGTGAGAAACCCCACAAATGTGACCAAGTGTGACTATTCTGCTTCACGGAAAGACCATTTAGAAGAACACATGATTAAACACACTGGGCACAAACCCTACATGTGTGGGGAGTGCGGCTTTAGGATGGCTGATAGATCTACCCTATCCGTGCATATGAGAAAACATACAGGAGAAAAAGTCTACAAATGTGATCAGTGTAACTATTCTGCTGCACATTAGAGGTCTTTACATCTACACATGGCTAAACACGCAGGAGAAAAACCCTACATGTGTTGGGAGTGTGGATACAGGGCGGCTGACACGTCTTACCTTTCCAAGCATATGAAAACGCATTTAGGTTTGAAACCCTACAAATGTTACCAGTGTGACTATTCTGCTGCACTAAGGTGGAACGTAAACCAACAAATTTTACATACACTGGCGATAAACCCTACAAGTGCGACCAGTGTGACTATTCCGCTACAAAGAAGAGGTATTTAGACAAACACATGGCTAAACACGCTGCTGAGAAACCCTACATGTGAGCGTAGGGCGGATGGCAAATATATTTCATCTGTCTCGCAAAGGAAGAACCATCACGGCGGTCTTTTACTACGGTCTTTTTCCCGTTGCCAGGCGCTTTCAAAAAAGTATCGGGTTAGAAGACGCTATTTTTGGCCTGTTTTGGACTACCCGTAAAACATTTGAAAATTAAAAAAAAGTATTTATCTTCCTGGGGTGATTTCTTAACTAAACATTGCAAAGAAATAGCCAGTTCTTGTGGTTTTGACCCCAAAACAAAACAAAATAATAATTTCAGACAAAAGAGCCTCGGTCGAAAATAACCTGTATGGGTTTGGCTCTCATCTTGTAAAATATAATGATGAAAGGTGCTGTTATCGCCTGCGCGTAGATTCATGAAATAAACGGCTAATTTTTAACTTTAATTTTCATTTTAACCCAAAAAAACCGAAGTACCCTCAAATCAATGTTTTAAGTACTACTAAAACTGTGTGAAGTTTCGTAGCGGTCCGACCAAGCTATCAAAAGTTACAGCCATATGTATAAATACCACTTTCCCATAACCCTAGGCCGCCTTAACCCAACCGAGGATACATGTATTGTCCGGGAAACGATTTGTATTTAACAGCGAGCAGATTATTATTGGAATGAGCAGAGCACTTTGGACTGATGCCTCTGACTATTTACAGCTTAGAGGTACATATCCAATATTATGTCACAAACTTCTCTGTTACATAGCGGATCATAATGACCCCAAATGGGGGTCTTCACGCTTCGTTAAAAATTGAAAAATCTCAATATTTTAGACGAAATCTTGAGATCTTATGAGACAATATTGAGATTTTTTATGACAATCTCCAGATCTTTCAGAAAATCTTGAAATGAGATGAAAAGAAAAGGTCTCAAGATCTTTCCAAATGTTTTCAAAGTATCTTGAGATTTTTCCATAGCATCTCGAGATGCTTTAAGAAATATCAAGATTTTTAAAGCAATCTTAAAAAAACGTGAGATCTTTTAAACGATCTTGATATTTTTAAAGCATCTCGAGATGCTTTGGAAAAATCTCAAGATACTTTGAAAACATTTGGAAAGATCTTGAGACCTTTTGTTTTCATCTCAAGATTTTCTGAAAGATCTGGAGATTGTCATGAACAATCTCAAGATTGTCTTATAAGATCTCAAGATTTCGTCTAAAATATTGAGATCTTTAGAATAAATCTTGAGATTTTTCAATTTTTAACGAAGCGTGAAGACCCCCATTTGGGGTCATTATAATCCGCTATGTAACAGAGAAGTTTGTGACAAAATATTGGATATGTACCTCTAAGCTGTAAATGGTCAGAGGCATTAGTCCAAAGTGCTCTGCTCATTCCAATAATAATCTGCTCAGTGTTATTTGTGATATTATGATTTTTTTTCTGTTGGGAAGTTCTCATGTAAAAATGGCATGAATTATTTTACAACTACTAGTATACTATCAAATACTATTACTAGTAACTGCTACTATTAGAACTAGTGTAAATTGAACGAGGAAAGAGAGATGAAATAAAAATAAGAAAATAAAACAGGAAGATGACTGCATAATTGTTTTGTGCCTGCCTCCCTATCAATATGTACATCATCATCATACAGTTCTCCTAAATTCTGTATGTGGCCATTAATATTACTAAACGCTGCAATATAATCTTTCACGCTGGAGGAGCTGTTTGAAGTGGTGTATTTTTCTTGATACATATCACCTATTCTGGCGTGATAGTGCCAGAAAATAGTAGAATGTAATTTTCCCCTAAGGACATAACGTCCAGCTAGAAATGCACTAAATCGAATCCGTGATTTCTAGCCTCTATCATGCCTTAGAGGCGACTAGAAATAGTAGAAATTGGCCAAATATACCGATGTAGATAACATGTCACTTATTATTAGTTATTATTAGTCCGCTAAAGGAGTATTTTGCCGCTAGCTCCTCTGCATGTTTATCCGTCTACTTGGCCAGTTTCTGAGAGGTCATTACGAAAATAAATCATCTTGAACATTTCAAGATTTACATTATCAGGGTAAATTACAAGGTGTTTATTGAATTGACAAGCTGCAAATCACGGTTCGGGGGTCTAACTAACCCGGAGCAAGAAAGTGGTCACCAGGGGCTAGTTAAACCATGGAGGTAAAAAATCACCTCCATGGGTAAACTAGTTTCTTGTGAACTTCAAGTTGATTTGAGAATTTTTTTTTTGTTATAGTCTTGATATTAGGATACAGGGGTTTTCTTTTACACAACCAAGAAAGTCTCACCTTAATACGTTTCGGTGTCTTTCAGACACATTCCTCAAAGCCTTGGTACCATCCTGGTTAGTTGGTGGTAGCGACTGAGGGAGCGGACGTAAACTAACCAGGATGGTACCCAGGCTAACAGTCCTCAGAGCTTCCTACTGGAATTCTGCTTCTCGACGCTAAATGCAACCGATGTAGGTGACGCTTTTGCTACGTTTTGGAATTGTGTTCTCGCCGCAAAATCACCACCTACATCAGCTACATATAGCGGTGAGAAGCAGAAGTCAAGTCAGTAGTTCCGAGGATGGTGTCTGATAGACATGGAAACGTAAACAAGATGAGACTATCTTATGGGAGAAAACTCCTGTATCCTATACTTCATCGACCTGATTAAACTATCAACGAAGCATGAGAAAAACATATGTTTAATGCAAGGAAAGATTGAACTGTTACGCAGCACTTAATTTATATAAAGCGCAGAATCTTTCAGACGGCATCGACCATCCTTCTTCAGCTACGGACGAGGTCAGTCACGTGACCCAGAGGGTAAAGGTATGCACAGGTCACATGACTAGACGAGTTTGACCAGTATGGGTCACAGCCTGTCTCCAATAATTGGAGGCATCCTACTTAAACTAATCTTCTGTAGCGCGTAGTGCTCGCCTGAGGACTTAGCCGTCATACGAAAGATTGATTGATTATATTTCTGCAGTTTGTGCAGGACAGTTTCAAACCACGTACGGTTTCACTTAACAACATATGTCAGAGAGTCTTCAAAATATGTTTCTGATGGTAGATTTTCTTGGAAAAATGTTTCCTATATGTAAGAAGTTATCAGCATATATTAGCCGACTACAACTGCTAACGTTGCAGAGTAGACGCGAGCTGTAAAAATTAATTTCGTTCAGAATGATCTTGTCATAACCACTTATCTTCATAATCAGTCCGACCAGACCGGTCAGAAGGCGTTCCCACTTTGGGTAGAACGCACGCACCTCTAAAAACTCCTGAACGAAATGACCATGAAGGGACTTGTGTTCGTTGTCGCCGTGGCTCTTGCCTGCTGTGTCACTACGTGTAAGTTCTTTGTTTCGTCCTTCCTGTATCGAAGAATTTCAGAAAAATGGATAATCGGTTAGTCTCTTCGTATGAATGTCTGATTGAAGAGTGCCAGTGCGTGTCCAGCGCTCAGATAAGAGACCGCATTTTGTAACAAGAAACATCTAAGTTGAATTAATGCCAAAAATTAGAGCTCTGAAAATATAAAAGCATAATAACGCGTGAATTGACCTGGGCAGGTGGCTATTGAATTTTATCTACTAAAAACAACTGATTAATTTTTAGGGTTGGTAGAGCGTTTTCAACGACTTTATGAGTCGGTAAACGTTTAGGCCTATCTGCATAAAGAAAGTCAGCCGAGAATTCTGTTCTTGGCCGAGTAATGTTGCCACTAGGAGTGTACAACAGTCATAAACATAGTCTGTGTCTGATAATTGGATGCATCCAACTTGAACTAATGTTCTTTTTGACGTCGTGCTCGCCTGAGGATGTAGTCGCGTCATCTAAAGAATGGCAATGATTGATAGCTCAAATAACCTTGCAGCGTTGCGCTACAGACACGCGTTTGTCTTCGAAGTACAAACTATCGCCAGGGCCACTGAGAACATATTGATTATCTGAAAGGCTCTTAAGTCTAGGACTATCAATGGAAATCATGATATGGCAGCCCAATATCATAGCGCGTATCTATGCATATGCATGTGAGGGTTTGCGTGTATGCGTGCATGTGCTCGCATGTCTGTGTGTGTGTGTGTGCGCGCGCGCATGTGTTTTTGAATTGGACATTCGGGGTTTTTACCGAGCAAACTAGTTTCTAGCTATAGTAAACGCCAAGTTAATTTGTGGAAACAGGTATAAATTGTTCCCACCTGCAGTGTACAATGGAATCTGTCTCCGATAATTGGAGGCATCCTACTTGAACTAATCTTCTGTTGCACAGCGTGCTGGCCCGAGGACTTAGCGGCTGATGATTGATTGAACCAGACAATTTCAAACTACGTAAAGCTTCACTTAACGATATATGTCAGAAGAGTCATCAACATCTGTTTATGCAGGCAGGTTTGCTGGAAAATTTATTTTATTTTATGTGTCTTGTTGAAAAAAAGCTATCAAGCATATACTGAGTGAGGCTGCGTAGAACTGCTACCCGTACGAAATTAATATCATTTCGAAAAACCTACATATTTTGATTCTGCCTAACATAAAACCGATCCGACAAGTCATAAGGCGTTCCCATATCAGCCCGAACACACGCACCAGTGAAATCTCCTAAAAAGCGCAGAAACCACCATGAAGGGACTTGCGTTCGTTGCCATTGTGGCCCTTGCCTGCTGTGTCACTACATGTAAGTTGTCCAGTTTACTTGTTTTGTCTTCTCTGCATGAAACAAGTTCACAAAACGCCTCCAAACGTTTACAACCCTTCTTCTGTATTTCTGTGTGTGCTCAGTGCTCAGATTGGAGATCTAGACCGGCGTTTGTAACAGGAAACGTTAGAAACTCGAATTAATGACGCAAATAATTTGAAGACATGAGAACACACTGGCGCGCTAATCAATCGGGGCGGGGGTCTGTTGAAATGTATTCACATTTTAATTTTTTTTTTCTCCTGCTGTTAAACTTTACAGCGCTGAGTCTTCTTTCTAAAACAAAAGTCTTTGGCGAATAAATAATGTTACCACATACGTGTAGAGTGTACAATGGTCACATTCTCTCTGTAAAAATTGGATGCATTCTACTTGAACTAATTTTCTGTTGCACAGCGTGCACGCCTAAGGGCCTGATGTCGTCAAAAGAATGTTAATCTATGGTAAACCTTGAGGCGTCCTGCTACAGATGCAGGGTTGTTTACATTTGTAGCTATTCTCTAATAAGATGTTATAAAGCCTGTTTTCAGACTTTTTACCTTTACCTTTAACAATGTTAAGTTTTCAGGAGAATTTGTCCGTTTTGTCGTTTGTTTGTTTGTGAACAGCATAATTCAAGAAAGTATTAATAGAATCTAATGATATTTGGTGTGTGGAACCCAAATCTGGATATCATTAGATTTTGGCCCCCTGTCGGCTTTCCTTGGTACTGCAGCAAAACTTTTGCTTTTGATATTTCATGATCTAGACATGCTAGGAATTTTGCATGGAAGATAGCTTTGTGCTCATAAAGAAGTGTCATTAGTCTCCATGTCAGCTTGTTGAAAAACCTTCAAAAGGAGGACAGCTCAATAACCGGCCGACGGATTGTCGTGATTATTTTTGGGATGTAGTTAGCTAAATTGGTGCTTGACATGACTAAATGACAATTATACATAGTTTTCATAAAATTATATATTACATATAAATCTGCTTCGTTCGATAATAGGACTATAAAACACTTGTGTAATTAAGAACAATATTAGCATATATTGAATATGCAAATGATCACCTAATTTTGTCTAATTATTGGGAAATCGCTATACTGTCATAATGGCAACTGCTGGAAATTTAATACTTGCCGCAAGTGAAAATGATGATCATTTAACATAATTATTCAAGTCATGACCTTATTTGCATAATTCATGATTCGTTAGAATAGTATTCTTTCTTAAAATAAGACTTATTGGGTGGAGACTATCTTCAACTGATATAATAATTGTTCATGCAAATGAGGCTCTTATTTGCGAAATCAAAAAGTTAGATGCATACTCCGTCTACCGTAAGGATAAACATCATTTGGCGAAGGTATGAGGTGGTAAAACTCTTGTTTGGGTATTTTTTTAGACGCTTTGTTGGAATTTCACTTGTTTCAGTGTTTGTGTCTTTTCTTTATTCTGGACTAATACTACAATAGCATTGGTTATTTGCACAAGAAAAACAAGACAACGGCGCGCGCGTGTGCGTTTATGTGTGTGTTCGTATATGTGTGTGTGCGTGCATGTGAGTGTGCGTGCGTGTGTGCGTGTATGTGTGTTTGTGTGTGTGTATGTGTACGTGTGTATTTTTCTGTGTGTCTGTTTAAGTGTATGTCTGTATGTGTGTGTCTGTATGTGTGTTTGTCATACATTGTGCAGAACATTTTCTCAGAGTTTATGCTGTAGCAATAAATACATTGGCGTCCAAATAAAGTGATGTAGAAGTACTTAAATATGTATCTGCGTTTGTTTGCCAGGTGGAGCACTTGAGTGCCCCATTTGCAACAGCGTGATCTCGAGGGCGGAGTGTATGCGGCAGCCACGGCAGACCTGTAACGCCAGCGGCATCGGCATCTTTCCCACCCCCGTCTGTCTAACCATTCAAAACAGTAGGCCGTTCTTTTTCTTACCTTTTATCTTGTAATTTAGGTAGGTGTTGTGGGCTACTAAGTCTGGTTACGTCTATATATGCAATATCTTTATTCTGACTTTCTTAATCCCTTTGGGAAAATTACATAATCTTTCCTTATAATCTCCATTAAATATCTGAGATGTTGTTTTATGTTTATGTGTTTGTGTGTCTGTGTTTTCGCACAGTTGTGGTCAGCATAACTTCAAAACGCCTTTATGGATTGTGATGATATTTGGTATGTTGGTAGGTCGTACGAAGACACAGGTCAAGGTCAAATATTGGCCTCCTGGTGACTGTCCTTGGTACTGCAACAGAACTTCCGTTTTTTGTATCTTCTGTCCTCGACATGCCATGGACTTGGATTTTTGGTGACAGATAGCGTTTCCTGTCTAGAATACGTTGTGTGAGTTTTGTCCCCCTAACAGCTCGTTCTAAAACTGCAGGGGAATCTCTGGCGAAATCTTTTAAAGCAGATAAGTCTAAAATGCAGCAACGTATTTATATCATTTTTGGTATGTAGGTAGCGTATAGAAAGATGTGCATAATCAAATGCAAATTATGCAAATGAAGACGTAAATTGCATAATTTAGGATGAAATTCTGTAATTGCAGTGTGTTACATAATAGATGTAGTACTTTTATAGATGTGAGGTATGTAATCTATGGTAGGTGTAACATAAACAGATACCAATTACGCAAATGATGACCTGATTCGTATAATTAATGTAAAATTCTGTGATGGTGAATGATGGGAATTTCATACCTTGTGACATGTGTACCCTATTTAAAGATTAACAGAAACATCACTATATGTATATCATGTTAATATAGTGGTAATTGGCATAATTAATAAGGGCACGTTGAAATGAAATATTGCCAAAGGATATCAATTTCACATGCAAATACTGTAATTGAAGTTTAGAAAACAACAAATTTAACTAGGTTATGTTAATGATGACCATATTTCCATAATCAGTGGGACAAATCTGCGAAAAAAAATTACATAAAGTCTGCATACTAAGTACTTTATGGAGGTATGATATCTCTGAATTCTCGTTGTATTCGTCAGAAAGACTATGGAATTGTCTCGCCGTGTTGTGGCTGACTGCGGATATAGCGGAATAACTTCTGAAGGCATGATTCGACGTCCATGATTTGGCAGACAGATTACCGTTGTTGAGGCTGGATACCTTAAATTTATTGCAAAAGTGCGATAAAATACATGAGGGGCTGATAATCATCTTCAAAAAGCCTACACTATACATGCACACAACACCCACCAAAACAATATCACACTGTCGAAGGCATGAGCGCTCCGAACTCTAGTTTTATCTAGAACAATGTCCCTTTGACGAAGGCAGGAGATCTACTACCTCTAGTTAAAGATGTTTCACAGTAGGAACAATGAACGTCGAGTGTCGGGATATATAGCCGAGGCCATGGAATGCTGGTATATAAAATGTCAAACAAAATGTTTTGGAAATTCTCTTTCTGACCTTATCACACATGCAGCACCAACTAATTATTTTCTGAAATGAGTATTTGTGAAATGAAAAAGGAATGCTTTTATCCAAACCAACTTGATTTTTCAGAGACTGCTGTAAATGAGACATGGAGCAACAGCTGTTCAACAGAGGAGCTGTGCATCGTAGGTAAATAGTCATATCATGTCATATAAAAAGAGGGTCGTTAGATGATGGTGCATAATGACGTCAGTACTTAATACCAAAAAATGTGGGGGGGGGGCACAGACTTTCTGCAACCCACTGCTCACGGAGTTACGTGTGTTATCTGCGTAACGTCACGGAAGCAGTGGATTGCTCATTTCTTGACAGTCGAAAGTCTGGTACAGTCGAAAAAATGAGTCCAACTTCTTGTGTTGGCAATCACAGTTCAATCTTGTTCATAATTTTAAGATTATGACTTCTACCAACACAGATGAACTTTCAAGACAAAAAATAATTCATCCAAGTATCTGTATAAATTCTCTAAAGGTGGTCAGACGTCTTGCATAGATTAGGCTTGGATTGAAATTTCAAGGTGAAATTAGGTGCACCTTTGTTTTTGTTGGTAGTTCCTGTTAATAAACAGTTGTGTGCTTACAAAGACGGCCCCTGATTAGGTTTGAACGCAGGTCAGTTGTTTACTATATTAGCTGCCAACACACAGCTTTTATTAGTTCAACGTACATCAGTCAGGGTTACACAACTAGTCGTAGACTACTATTAAGGGTCAACCTTTGGAGAAAATAAAATTGTTCAGTATACAAGTACATACAATTGAAAAGAAACAATAATTTACCATAACGTTGGATCATACAATCGTATACAAATTATAAGAACTAAATTATACAATAATAGGGTTACTGACGTTGGTTTTCTAATGTGTACATATTTACCTAGGTTGTGATATTGAAAAAGTTTACCCGATGAGCTTTGATGTTAATAGTGCCCCTATTGTGCTTCAGCCCAGAAATTCAACCCCGTACTGTGCCAGCCTACGCGGAACACATTCACCTGTTACTCCTGTTGCGACACTGACGGCTGCGTGGGACAACCCGCAGCTGCATCCGCCGCTCGGATCAGCGCCGTCACCATGACAACCGCCGCCCTGGCCGTCCTCATGAAGAACGCCGCGGGCTTCTAGCCCTGCGTCGCCATGACGACGAATGTCGCTAAATACTGACGCCATTTTTGCTTAAAGCAAATGCATTTGATTTGCATGTAAGATAAGACAAATGTTACTCTCTAACCAGACTCCAATGGAAAAAAATAGTAAAAAAAAAAGGCCGGATATATAGAGTGAATGTTATGCCATATAATTTGCAACCCGGCCATATATAGAATAACAATTTGCAACCTAGCTATATAATTACGATGTGCAACCCGGTCATGCAATTTTAAATTGAAAATTTTCAAATTGTAATTCTATGACCGAGTTGCAAGTTGTAATTCTATGACTGATTTGAAAATTGTAATTGTATGTCCGAATTGCAAATCGTAACTCTATGACTGGGTTGCAAATTGTAATTCTATGACCGGATTGCAAATTGTAATTCTACGACCGGATTGCAAATTGTAATTCTATGACCGAATTGCAAACTGTAATTCTATGACCGGACTGCAAATTGTAATTCTATGACCGGATTGCAAACTGTAATTGTATGTCCGAGTTGCAAATTGTAATTCTATGACCGGATTGCAAATTGTAATTCTATGACCGGATTGCAAATAATTGTAATTCTATGACCGGATTGCAAATTGTAATTCTATGACCGGATTGCAAATTGTAATTCTATGACCGAATTGCAAATTGTAATTCTATGACCGGATTGCAAATTGTAATTCTATGACCGGACTGCAAATTGTAATTCTATGACCGGATTGCAAATTGTAATTCTATGACCGGATTGCAAATTGTAATTCTATGACCGGATTGCAAATTGTAATTCTATGACCGGATTGCAAATTGTAATTCTATGACCGGATTGCAAATTGTAATTCTATGACCGGATTGCAAATTGTAATTCTTGACCGGATTGCAAACTGTAATTCTATGACCGGATTGCAAATTGTAATTCTTGACCGGATTGCAAACTGTAATTCTATGACCGGATTGCAAATTGCAATTCTTGACCGGATTGCAAACTGTAATTCTATGACCGGATTGCAAATTGTAATTCTATGACCGGATTGCAAATTGTAATTCTATGACCGGATTGCAAATTGTACAAATTCTATGACCAGGTGGAAAATTGTAATTCTATGACCAGGTGGAAAATTGTAATTCTATGACCAGGTGGAAAATTGTAATTCTATGACCAGGTGGAAAATTGTAATTCTATGACCAGGTGGAAAATTGTAATTCTAAATGTCCGGATTGCAAATTGTAATTCTATGACCGGATTGCAAATTGTAATTCCGTGACCGGATTGCAAATTGCAATTCCATGACCGGATTGCAAATTGTAATTCCGTGACCGGATTGCAAATTGTAATTGTATGACCCGTCATAATTAGAGTATGGTAGAGACTAATCTTTGTTCGCTTATTTCAGACCATATCTTTGACTTGCAGGAGGCGGGGCGTGTGGCTTAGTCCGATGATGAAAATTTAACATCTAATTTCCATATAGCCAGGTGGCGTTGACCAATCAGAATCCCCATTTCATATTGATTATAATTGATCATAATGTCACAGTTAGCATGATACCAGTATTGCAAAATCATCCCGTGTGCTTTATTTCACAAGTGTGCCTTTGTTGCAGAATAATGTACACTAGAGAGTGAACCATTATGAATGTGTCACTCTTTACTGTGTAAGTTTTGATAGGCTATATATGATAATAGCGTTAATGGCCGCCCTTTATTGGTGAATATGGTGCGATAATTTTCCGTTGCTATAACCACCTCATAAAGCCACATCGTTCTCTGCGCTCACTCAGTGTCTTTATTCGGTGGTTATAGTAACTGACAAGGCTTTATCACACCATATTCACCTTGGGGCGTGTCATTAACCCTTAATTATTGAATGATTTTAATTGAAAATGGAGAGATATAAGATTTTCTTTCTTTTTCTAACCAATTTTAGATAACGACGATAAAAATTTCATTTTCATATGATAAGATATCCCATGTCAAACACAAATCGACTTACGTCTTTACACAATTTTATAATAACTTCGATGTATGTTTAAATGAAAGCTCCACTTTGGAAAATAGTGTCATTTCCCCACCTAACACTGTAGAGAAGCCTGGTGTCTGCTTGCACTGAAATAAAGAGGGTTAAAGTCTGATTAAGTCTGGACAGATCATTTTTATTTGTAACTTGAACTGCAGCCACACTCTTAGGTATCATTAATATTTACCTGGGGTCGCGATTTGTTTGTTACACCCACACGTCTCTATGAAATTACTTTTCAGTGACTGATTTTTACCAAGACATCGGACAGTGACAAAGTTTTAACTTTCCGCGCCATCTAGCGACTCTACCTTATCTTGCACACTATGATTGAAGTGTATAATAAGATATAAGATTTAACCATGATAAACTATGTTTCTGGGTATGGCGGTAACAGTGCTGGTGACACATTTTCCTTTCTAACCCAAAGAGCAAGCATGCATTTGAAAACCCCTTTAAAGGTGAATCTGTTTGTTATAAGGGGGGTTGGCCCTATGTTACGACAGCCCTATGTTACGACAGCCCTATGTTTTGACGCCCCCTTTTTTCATTATGTTTAGACACCAAATGATGAATTTTAAATGGATTGCGTGTAATGATCTCGAAGGAAATTTTCACGTAATATATTGTCACTGAAAGAAAGAAAAATCAATACTTTTCTTGTAGGATCGTTAGATTTATGGGAATATTTCAACTTTACGCTCTAACTTTATTGACCTTTTAAATTAAGTATGCGACATTGACGTCCAGCCCGAGTCTAAAACATAAACAAAAACAAACAACGCAGATCTAGTCTGGTAAATAGGGCTTTTTATTATACGTTTGTGTCATATCCTCCAAAAACACCCTCGATCCATACAAAAATATCTTTTAAAAGATGTATCCCAAACAGCGTCAAACAAACTAACACAAACCCCACTCAAACCTGGAATGAAGGTCAGCAACATTTAAAAAGAAAGTTTGAAATCAACATTATGACGAGTTAACCTTAACACTCCCAAAGAATCTCTTGTACAAATCAACAAATTATGTGAGATAGAACAAGTTTGAGATTTGTAGGCTAAATCTTGAGCTCTTTCGATTGTCAACGAGGCATAACTTTTTTTTTTCACAAAACGTTGTATATGTGTACTGTTACTTTATTGTTGCTTCTTCGATTAAGCAAATATGCAATGCCTTTCCATTGCATTCACCAATAATCATTTTGTCGGGAATATAGCCATAGGTGTGTCGTAACATAGGTGCGTCGTAACATAGGTGTGTTCTAACATAGGTGCGTCGTAACTGTACCACCGAGTGTAAATAGTGTAAATATGTAAATAGTAGGAATTGTATGTAGGCTTCATATAAGGCGTCACTGACTGGGTAGCTGTCTGCGATGCTGGTTCTGGACGGATTGTTGGGAGTGTCACGTGGCACGCCGCGCGAGCTGCACGGGTTCGATCCCGGCCCGTGGCCGAGAATCAACATCCGAGTTTTTCCGAGTTTCTATTCCCTGCTCCTGCGTTACATAACATAGGGCTGTCGTAACATAGGGCTGTCGTAACATAGGGCCAACCCCAACTGATACCCTCTGTTCCGCATAGGTTGAACCATACAGAAAATAAACCATAAAACATCTTAGGAACTGTCTATTAGTGGAAGACACAGATGGAAAATGTAACAAATGAAACAGATGTGACCAGATATTTACGTGGTTAATATTCAAACATGATAAACCCTGTTCCTTGGGTAAACGTTGCTGTGTAATACCGCAAATTTTACAATACCAGCTTTGTATTCCTATGTCTTAGCAGCATTTTTTGCTGGAATTTGTTTATTCGCCCATATATATATTGGTTTGGGGTCTTCAGGGGATGTCCTCCATAAAATTACTCAGTTTGGCCTTAGAATGATACACGGATCTTACCTAACATATATAGAATAGCGAAATAAAATAATCAATGACAAAGACGATAAAAATACTAGCAATGTAGTTTACAATTTATTGTCTATATGGGTTTGCTGTGACTGATTTAGATTGCAGTTTCCAGTTGATATTTCGAAGTTGCTTGCACTCTTGACTTAAGAAACTTTCCTCCTGCCCTATCATGGACATTATACACTGCCTTTGGTTGTATCTTATACATCGAAATTGTATTATCCATGCACGGTACACCTTTGTTGTGTGTTAGTTTTTAGGTGTATAAAGATACACTGAATCGTCAGCATTTTCACAGTGCCACATCATCGTACACATATTTATTTGTTCAACCAGGTATCACACTCAGGCCACTCTGGCCTGTTTTTCAGGAAATCCTGGTACAAAAGCACAGACAAACACCTAACAGTTAAACAGATTCACAATACATCCAAAAGTCTAAAAATAGCACGATAAAATATAATCACTCTTGAAATCTGCCAGTAACCGTCTAAGCGCTCAAACTGAAACTGTTGTATTCATCACCACAACACAACCATCTTAACGAAATCTTCAAATCTCTAAGTTCGAAGGTAAAAAAGTGTTTCGAGTAGTCATATTTAATTAAGACGAATCAGGTACGAATCATGCACACATTCCATCCAAGCCATATCCAAGATTGCTTCAAACAACAAAATCTTCTCTTGTCTCTTTCATCTTTGGTTGTAATATCTTTATTTATTTAACACTTTCATTTTAATTGTCGTTTATTCGGTTAACCTTTATTTAGTAATGCAAGAAGCTTTCTTCACCATGAAAATGAGTAAATATGATGGGTAATTCAAGTCAAATACCTTATAAATACCGATAACACTATTTCACCAATGTGCAGAAGACATCTAGCGCTAAGCATTACGTAATATAACGTATTATCGATCTAAGTGGCTTGAATAATAAAGCAATTGATATTTGGAAGATATTATCAGCTACCGAAAGATATTATATAACTCTTCGTTTGGTTTATTGGACAAGATAAATTTATACAACTGTTGTTTCATTGGCCGGATAAAGTAAACATGTAATATTTATTCAGCGCGTCACATTGATGGAATGCTCCTAACTCAATTCGTCCCGACGTGTTTATAAAGGAGACCGGTTCGCATGATTAAAAACTTGCTTTCTGGTTGTCTTTTAATCAACGGTGCTTTAATTTGCCAATAAAATCATAAACACCAAGATCGTTTTATTGGACATAAGATTTTACATTGTAGGAAGGCCATTGTCTTTTTTAATGTTAACCAAAGGGGGGCGAAGGATGTTTTTTTGATTATTCTTAGATTTGTTTCAAATTAATTTTTGCTATAAATCCATTAGTTTCGCAACCATAATCCAAATTTTCTGCTGAAGAATTTGTAACAATTTCTTTTATTTAGCCTGTTAAACAATTCCATAATTGATCTGTCCTTTTCTCTAAATTGTCTTGGTTATCAAAGTAATCCGATTAACACCACAGCTACGTTTTTAGATTTTTTCTATGGATATATATTGCAACTTTTAAGTTCAAAGGTGAAGAATGATTCAAGCAGGCACATTTTACTGTAGTGTCAGAAGTTAAAGACGAATCATATACTTGACATGTGCACATTTCAACACAAATTCGAGGTCACTTTCAGACATCAATTGCTTCTTTGTCTCTTTAATCTTTGGTCGTTATATTTGTGGTCATTTCTAATTAAAATCATACTTCTCATTCCTGTTTGATTGGTTAAGAATTTAATTTACAATACAAGAATCATTCTTCTCTACATAATAATCATAAAAAATAACTGATAGCTTAAGCCCAAAACTTTAGAAATGCCATAGAAACATTTTAAACAATGTGCACAAGCCATCTAGCGTTGAGCATTACGTACCATAACGTTATGAAGCGTTTTATTTCTCTTAGTTGCTTAAATGATAAAGCAAGCATAATATAGCTTGATATAACATTTCAAAACTTATCCAAGCGTATTATATAACTCTCCGTTTGGTTTACTGGGCAAGGTAACGTTACCCAGTTGTTTCATCAGCAGAAAAGTAAATACTTAATATTAAAAAATCAATATTCATTGTCGCTCCAAATTCAATTTGTCAAAGTTTTAAATGATAATTTATTACAAGCTAGTTTAGAACATGCTTGCTTTCTGGCTGTCTTTGGAGAAGCGGTGTTTTAAGTTGCTAAGAAAATCATAGTCATTAAGAACGCCTCATTGGACATTACACGTTGCATTGTATGATTGCCTTTTTTTCAGAAGGGTGGGGGGATGAACGATGTCATTCTGATAATTTCTTAACAGAGGTTAATAATTCTCGCAATCATGATCCATTTTTAAAGACGAGTTAGTATCATTTTTCATTGATTAAGGCCGTTCAAAATTTGCATAACATACCTGTGCTTTTCTTGAAATTATCTTGAGTAACAATATTCCGATTAACATATAGATATAGCTTAAACCCATTGCCCCATCAAGCAGCAGAGATTGTAAAGTAAAGTGCCGGTTCAATACTCACGGAACAGAAATTCCGGGGGCATTGCACCGCCAAGGTGTACACAATGGACGAACTAAGCCTTGTTTATATACAGTGCTGTTAAATGTACAGTGTCCGAACACTTGCGGGGGGACAAGCACAAACTCGAGAGAACATCACAGCATTTAGACATTATTGGAAAAGCTCTACAGTAGAGCTCATGGTACTGAAAAGCGAAGGGACAAACACAGACTGACTTTACCTTTTACGGATGGACGAACCAAAAATCGCAACAGAGTGCTGCCGTAGGAATTTTGGAACTCGTGCAAAGATGCTAAAGGACATGTACTTCGGTTTGTCTAGCTGGTAAATTATCAAACCAAATAATTGTCTGTTGTGTTCTGTCGAGTAGACAAGTTATAATGAAATGAAATGAAGGTTTGCCTGTGACTTTCAAATTCTGTAAGTTGTGTTAGGAGGATTCTAGGAATCCAAAGTCCAGTGGGTTCATTTTTTCATAGTATTACAAATAGTATTTGTATCCGAAAAGGAAACGATCGTCAGCAATCGGTATGATATTGTGTACATTCTGATTTGCACTGAAAGCAGAGTGATGAAAAAAAAGATATTTACGCAGTAGCAGGCAAAATTGAAGTGCAATATTTATTTGCTTCAGAATTGTGCTTAGTATTACCTGGCGTAATATGTTGCTTGAGACTGTACTATGTTGCTTTATTGTATGAATCATGCAAAACAATGTCCATGTATATTGTCTGGTATATATTTGATTCAATGTCATGTGTGTCTTGAAGGACCACAGGAAGAAAAGCTACATTTGTTGTAAGCTAAGTGTGGATCCCAATAAAGTCAAAGTCAATGATGAATTTAGCAAACATGATACAAAAACATTCTACGTTCTTTTGTTTTCAGGTTATAACCCGCCCGATTTTATTGTAGCTTTCCTGAGATTTAACTTAAGCACACATTTTGCATGCCAAATTCAAAAGTGATGTACGAATTCAGCTTTAGACTGTAAAACTGATCATTAAGACTGTAAAAAAAGTTGTGAATGTTACTTATGACAGTAAGACTACAACAAGATTAGTTTCTATGGCAACGACTTTATAGGCGTTCCGATCGTTTTTTTTTGGGGGGGGGGGGGGTATTTTCTGACCAAATGTATGGATAGTATACTAGGATTGGCGGCCATAGGTTTTAATGCGTGCGATCTACATGACCAATCGGAACGCCTGAAAAGGAGGCTAGACGTATTGGGTGTTTCTATTTCCTATGCTGGCCTCGGTCTGTAATCAACTCAGAAAAGGAATCTGGGTATACATTTTTTCTCATACTGTAAGCAGAAAAGTAATCTGAGCACACTTTTTGGGTTTCTCATATTGTAATTAAAAAGTAATCTGAAAGTAATTTGAATTAAAAAAGTAATTTTTTTCTCGTACTGTAACCAGAAAATTAACCTGAACACGCTTTTTTAAATTTATTACATTGAAATGAGAAATGTAGTCTGGACATACGTATTGTAATCAGAAAACTAATCTTGACACACGTTTTTTCCTTTTGAATAGAGTCAGGTTTGAAACGCTTTTCTCGACCACTGACACCACAGAAGATATATTATATGACTTACGCAAAGCAATGTCCACATATATTGTCTGATTGTATCGACTGCTTTTAACCGTATTTTTAACCCTATCTAGACTGGGGAGGGGCTAAAAGTGCCCGCGCCAACTTTGATGTCGGAAAACGTCCGAACGGCTTGTGCTAGGGCTACCAAAATTGGTGACCTTTCCTAAAAAATATTTTGCCAACAATTTCATAGCAGTGAGATAAATTAATAATTCGTGTTGCCATGGCAACGGGTTTTTGACAGGCATTTTGGACAGGCACGGTCGTGTTGACAGGGACATTTTCTTGACAGGATGTTGGCAATAAGACATTTTCTTGCACTATGAGTACATTATAGTCTTAAATATAAAATAAGATACTGCTTATAAACTGCGTAACTTCTGCAGGGTTTCATATCTGGCCAGCAAAATGTTTTAAAATGCTCGGAACATTTTAGAGTAGACGGACGTTGAAGAAAAGAGTCATTGACAAAGAAAACAAAAACACCACCATTGAGCTTTACGATTTATTATCTATATAGGTCTGCTGTGAGTGATTCAGAAATCACTGTGAAATGTTGAACTGTTTTACCATGATCTTTACTGACAAGCCATATTTCTATTGACATTATACACTGCTCTAGGTGGTATATTATAGATCGAAATTGTATTACGTCTACACGTTACACCTCTAAATGTTGTGAGGTGTACAAAATACACGGAATCATCAGGAATATCATTGTCACTGTCGCTAACGAATCATTTTATACACATTAGGTATTATTATTCTGCACTTAATTACTTGAGTGCTATATTTGAAACTTTGGTCTTCATCATCACAGCACGACCTTTTCTAGTGAAACTTTGATATTTTTAAGTTAAAGGCATCCAATGTTTTTAGGGCGATCTTTGTGATATTGACACATAGTACAGTTATTAGTACTTCACATTCGCACATTCAAATCAGCATTTTATACTTTGGGCATTTAAAAATCAGACCAGAGCCCTTCCAGTAACCATTTTCCGTCAGAATTTTTGTTAATTTTTGCTCCATGAGGGTCAATATACGTTGGGATAGTGTGGTTTTAGCTCAATATGCTCAATAAAGAAAATTTGCGTTTCCAAGACCTAAAAACTACACTGGATGCCGTTAAAGGTGAAGAATGATTCAAGTAGTCGCATTCGATTGTAGGGTCATAATTCAGAGACGAATTATATACTTGACATGTGCACATTTCAAGCCATATCAGTGTTCCATTTCAGCCACAAAGTCCTTATTTGTGTCTTTTATCTTTGGTCGTAATTTTTTTGTATTTCTCATTGCCAAATTACACCTGTGTTTTTAATTTCTGTTTCATTAGTTAACCATTTAGTTAAAAATACAAGAGGCATTCTTCACAATATGATAATAATTGGATATTATGGATAACTTAAGCCCAAACATCATAAAAGCCAAAGAAACTATTTCACCAATGCACAAGTCATCTAGCGTTAAGCAATACATACTATAACGTAATGAAGCGTTTTGTTGTCTAAGTGGCTTAAATGATAAAGCAAGCATGATATATGTTGATATAATGATTTAAAACTTATCAGCTATCCAAACGCATTTTATATATCTTCGTTTGGTTTACTGGGCATGATAACATTTCACAGTTGTTTCATCGGCAGAGAAGTAAATATGTAATATTTAAGAAACACGTCGTATTCGCACGGCACGCTTTAACCTCAATTTGACATGACATAATTTTATATCGCAGTTTAAAAAAATAAAATAATAATTGATCAGAACATAACATGGCAACGCTTTCTGGCTGCCTTTACAGAAATGGTGCTTTAATTTGCTATATAAATCATAGTCATAAAGAATGACGTATTGGACTTCACATGTTCCATTGAAGGATTGCCATTTTCCTTTTAAACGGTTGGGGTGGGGCGAACGAGGTCTTAGTGATTTTTTCACAGCAGTTTTATCATTCCTGCAATGATTATCCGATTTTTTAATGAAGAGTTCGTAACATTTCTCTTTGACTCATCCCGTTAAACAATTGCAAAATGCATCTGTGCTTCTCTTGACATTATCTTGGTTAACAATATTCCGAATAACGTATCAATATAGCTTAAACCCATTGCCCCATTAAGCAGCATTAAACACCATAGCTAATTATTTTTTTCTTTGAATGTCAGTTAATACATCTATTCCACGAGTAAAACCGTTTTTAAATAAACATCGGTTGTTTCCTGTTTAGGGCGATATAACTAAACAACATGACATATAGATAGAGAGACTTAGAGAAAGATAACAAGGCGATTGTCATGTTGTTTAATGTTTACATGTAGTGCAGTGGTAATCAGAGACCAATTTTGACGAATTTCACGTGGAATAGCTTTATAATTAAAATCATCATGTGTTTAACAATTTGGATCCAGCCTTCTTCAAATATTTTTCTTATATCAATAATTTTGTCTTTGAGATAAAAGGTAACCATAAACTTCGCTATGGCTGTATCGCATCCCTTAAGGCGTTTCATACTAACATTGTTAAGGAAATTGAGGGGGAAGTTTCCCATCATTTGGAAATATGTTTTTTCTTCTAACGTTAGCAACAGGCAGAAATTTTAAATTCTTACGTTATAGAAAGGTTGTAGTAAAGCATCTATGTCGTACTATTTTGCTGAAGACAGGAAACGTATGTATCAAGCAGAAGATTCTATGCTGTGTATTGTTCTATCATGCAACTAAATGGAATGGATAAGCAAAATAGCTTGTATTTTCTATTGTAGTCGTTCAGTGGAGAAATAATTGCTTCGCAGGATGTAAAGAAAGAGAACACTTTAGCCAAGTAGATACAACAGTTGCGATTATAGAAAACATGCCAGGAGATAACATAGTGGAAAGGATTGAAACAATGCAAAAAAAAATTGAAGAGATATCTATGAAATAGTAATCTAAAAGTGATGTATGATATCTCTGGTATTGTGAAGTCATTTAAAATGTCTTGGGATGTTTTAGTATCACTAGATTATGTCAAGCCAGAAAAGTCTGTGTTATGTATGTTGTGGTAGAGACACATAGTCTTGATGACCAGTTGAAGTAAATTAATACTGAACTTCTGCAAAACGTTTATTTTAATGATTTTGGAAGTGAAAGGAATCATACATCTCTTTCAGAATAAAGATAGCAATGTCCATTTGCTCTTGTCTTCGGCGGAAGGAAGATGAACTCGCTGAAGACCACGTTCTCCGTTGCCGGGTCCTTAAGGTACTGTAGTTAAAGAGAAGTGCGCTTTATGAAAAATGATAATATTTTAGGAAAAGGATCGAAATAAGAGTATTGGAAGTATTGGACCCTGCCAATTGTAGTGTTCAATAAGTTGATGGTCAATGTGCTGACCATTGAAACAAAAACGACTTGAATTTTATCGGAGTCTTCACAGCTTAATACGTTGACAGCTTCGCAAAAAATGGTCTAAATTCACGTCACGGGGAAAATGCAGGTTGTAATCTATACTTCCCTGACAAAGCAAGACACTGTCAAATCCTGATCGAAGCTAAAATGATTGTAGTGATTCCAGATTCTGGTAAATAACACATGGTGCAAATTTGGGGATAGAAAATAGGTTAGGTTATTTTTTTTAATATCGAAAATTAACTCTTGTCCTGTTGGACATTCTGTGCATTGCATGCTCCCCGTACTTGGCCCTTTTAGATCCTCTTGGAACAGGGAGTACTGCTTTTGTTTTACTAGTCTACAATGTCAATACGCCCTGAAGATATCAGCATTGCATACATGAGAAAAAAGTAAATCCTTCCGAACACACTAAGGATATGACACTGCAGACATGAGCCTGCTTCCCAACAATTGTTGGGGCAAACGGAAAACTTACTAATGGGTATTTTTTTAAAACCAGAGTAAAGTAAAAAAAAATCGCAAGGATCTGAACCCAGAACTACTGGATTCTGCACCTGCCATCATAACAATAAGGCCAGACTATGCTACCTCAGTTCAAAAGTACAGATTAGCTAGAGGCCAGAAGATCTGCACAAGTCTTGACCTAGTATCGTTCTCGCGAGACTAGGTCACTCCATCATGTACAGTAGACTTCGAAAATTTGGACGTACGTGTTTGAAAAACGTCACTGATTGAGGTTTTCTCTACTAACAGCTCGTTTCTGGACTTCCCTGTTTTTTCTGTCTTTTGACCCATACGTACCGCACACATCCCGCAGTATCTTGATGGCAAGATCGCAGCAGCTGAAACGGCCGAACACTCGGTCTGCACCACCCGCGATGTACTCAAGCACACTGAAGTCGAACAGGTCATTCCTTGAAATTGCCACAGTGTACAACTCTATGCCCCGTGCCCTTGCTTCGTCGGAGTAGACTGCATACAAGTTGCCCTTGTAAGTGGGCAAGAAAAAGAACAAATGTAAAAAGGCAATACATAATATTTCCTTTGCAGATCATTATTACCTTCGCCAAGACGGTTATGTTTTCAGTAGAGTGTGTCTGTTTGTGAACAGCATAACTCAAGAAGCTTTATATGCATTATCATGAAACTTAGTAGGTAGGTAGGTCTTGACAAGATCTAGAAATGGTTTGACTCTGGGCTCCCTGGCAGCTTTTCTTCGTACTGCAGCAGAACTTTGGGGTTTTGATATCTCAAGATCTGGACATGCAATGGTCATGAATTTTGGATGGTAGATAGCTCTTGGGACATGGGTTTGGGCCCACTATCGGCTTGTTCGGGAATTGCAGTAGCGTTTGTTGAAAAATCTTCAGTTGAGGATAACTAAAGAACCGGTTGACGGATTGTCCTGATTTTTGGTATGTAGGTAGCTGAATTGATGCTCGACTTATCAAATGGCAATTTTGCAAATCTTACATCTGTAGGATCACCATCGGTCAGCACAACTGCCACTCGAGGAATATCGGGTCGGGAATTTTCCTGAAAAAAAGCAACAGTTAAAAATACGATTCAAACTCGATGTATTCGTAAAGTAAACGCACTCCTCTCAGGAGACTCAAAAACAACACAATCCGAATGTTTTCTATTACAGTAGCTACATGTGCACAAAAACAGTGACACGGAACTTGGTATCAGCCTCTTGAAAATTAGCAAAAATGTTTCAAGACATATTTTTCTCAACAATTGGAAAGACAAATTGAAATTGGGGCATGCCTCCGAAGAGACTGGAAGGGAATACAGTTTATATATGTAAAAAAAAGATGCAAACATTGACCCCAAATTCTGAATCAGGTTCTGGATGTAGAAAACAGTCTTAAAATATTTTTCTCCTACGGTATTTTCTATCAACATGTCAATCTACCTGATAGATGGTGTACATATACAAAGGGATAATGATGATCATACCGTGCAGATGTAATGGTAGATGGAATGTCCAGTTCGGCTCTCCCCCCCAGTAAACTCAGAAGCCTTAACTTTGGGGATGAGACCGGACGTATCCACGGTGTAGAGGCCCTGCGAGATTAGCCACCTCGATTCGCAGTCATAAGAAATCAACCCAACCTGCAAGCAACAACAAAAAATACACGCTATTCTACAACATACTTAATACTAATTATCAATGTGTTACATTATGGATACCTTTTTTACCACATTGATAAAAGCAACACCTTTTGTAAAAAAAGTTTAGTTTGATTGTCATAGAATTTGTCAAACATCTACAGCAATGCTCCACTTGATACTTGAGCTTAGAATTGATCTAGTACGAGCAATAGCCACTGTAAAGGAAAGCTGGGTTTCAGGTTCTTAACTGCTCCGCAAGATTTCTGTCATACTTACCTCAACATCTAGACCCCGCAAACACATGATGATGTACGCGATGTATTTTTCAGCGAAGTACATTGCATAGGGTCCAATGCTCGAAGAACGGTCGAGTAGAAAGACAATGTCAAAGGAACAATCTGCATTGAGAAAGTTTTCGATGAAAAAAATCCAAAAATATATAATGCGTAATATTTACCTTCGCATACGATCTGCTCTGTTTCTTCTTACTCAAACACATTTATACATATGGTGATATGAGTCAAAATACATCCTGCTATAAAACTGCAACATAATGGCATCTTACACAAGTTACCATAATGACAGACGTCTACTTTGGAGAAGAAGCAGAAACTGAGCAAAACAAAATATTTTTCTTCGGTAAACATAATCAGCGAAACGTCTAAATGCATAAAATAGCTAACTTCAAGCAGTCTTCCCATGTAAGGTGCAGACAAGGGTTTAAAAAACACATTTCTTTCGCTTAAGGTATCAATGTTTTATTTAACATGAATCATGAAGACCATTGCAACACACTACCGAAGGACTGTCATCATGTTACATTTCTATTGTTTACACTGTATGACATGATACAACACTGACGCTATCACTTTCAAAAATGTGAGGACAACTTAACAAACGGAATCCGTTATGTACATAAAATACAAATAATGCATATGGACTACAAAGTAATACATAAACAAAGATGTTGGAGGTACATGAGCAACGTTACCTTTGCAGACAATGATGTTATTTTCCTTGCAAATACAACGTTGACCGTTCTCAACCCAGATTTCTCCGAGCTAAAGACCAAAAATGCAACATCAACAAAAGCACATTAACTGACGTATTAGTCTTACCTTTGCGACAAAACAACGTGACATATACATGTAACAAAAATGGTACCTGCTACTGAATGCCTGTACTTTGAATGAGTGCATAGCGCATGTCCGCTATGGAACCATAAAAGCACACTAAAAGTATTCAGAATCTATTCACAATAAATTACTCAACCCTTACTACATAGCTACGCCTTCATTGGATTGGCTCGAGCAATGACCTACATGTAGTAATACACAGTAGACAAATGTGACACACAAGGACATTGTACTGACCTCGTAATATTGACCGGTCCCGGGGTCGGTGCAGCCACATTCCTCAATTGGGACACAGTGCTGTCCGCTCATGACGTAACCTGCATCGCACTCACAGCTTTCAGTATCTTCACATCCTATACACGCTGGGTTAGGATCCTGGCAGGTCGCGGGACAGAGGCTTGTGCACGTTGTGTAATGGCTGTTTGGCGGACACACCATTGCTGTCAAAAATGGAAAAATAGTTCTAGCTCTGCAATACATTTTTTATTAAAGTTCCCCATATGCAACTAAGAGACGTTTCAGTATTGAATTGATATACGTCTATAAACATTGGACAATTATTTACAGGGGGGTGTATTTCTGTACGTCTCCACCGACGCCCTGAGAGAGCAGACCAACCAGCCCCCCTGTCCAGTAAGATACGCTCGGCCCGTCTCCGTCTCTTCGGCCACATTGCCAGGGCGGAACCACTTCTTTAACTAGGCTCTCTCGTAAGAGAACCGCCTCCTCCGACCTGGTCCCGCCCTAAAGGGAGACCGAGACGCACTTGTACGGACCTGCTGTCTGCCGACCTACAGGCTGCCGGACTGGACATCACCACCGCCTGGGTGGCAGCCAGAGACAGGCAGACCTGGAGGGCCGTATGCAGAGGCGCTACGCCCCCTGGAGGGGCATGCGGAGCTGAGTGAGTGAGTGAGAGTACAAAAAATCAAAGAAGCATAGCAATAAGAACAAAAACAGCATCTTCTAGGTTCATCAGATAAAAAATGATGAAGCTGGAAGGTGGATAATCTTAGATATTGAGGTTTTCTTTTAAACTTTTGTGTTGTAAATTTATACGACCCAAATGTAGACTACCCTTCATTTCCAGACCTGGAGGAAGAAATAGCTCATGTCGACATTAGCAATGAAAACCTTATAGTATTCGAAGATTGTAATATTGTCCAAAATGCGCCTGTGGACATATCAGGTGTACATCAACGTAACTACCACCCCCTGTGCGCTTGACGCTATATCTGAACTAAAAGAGAAGTTCGATCTTCTTGATATCTGGCGTTTTAGAAACCCAAGGTCTGTAGGTTACACCTGGCGTCGGGGGGTTCAAGCCAGTAGATTATTTTTTTTTTCTAATCTCCTTTTTCACTGATCGTTTTTTAATGTCATGGTTTATATCGCCCATTTGCTGTTTTTTTATTTGATGTTTTGTTACTTGTTGCATTATTATTATTATTTACCTATATTTATCATTATTATTTACCTGTATGTACTCTTCTTTGTCAGTGGTGGAGTAGTGGAGTAGCAACCTTCTATAGCTGCCACTGTGTCCTGTAAGTTTCTGCGTTAATCAATTGAACAAGAAATGGAACTTACGACAAAGGGTTGGAGACCGCCATGTGATGAACACGCCTGCGTCATTACAGACAAGGGCATAGTGCTCCAGGTTCTCACAGAGACCCACGATGTCCCCGCCCAGTGCGCACATATCGAAAGTGCAGTCATTAAAAAAATCCCCAGGAGGCACAGCAGCATGACAGGCGGCAAACGGGCCTGAAGGGTCCGTAATCATCCCGCAGTTGCCATTATTGGACACAAGTGTCATCAATCCCCCTGCACACGGTCCGGGGACTTTTCCTTCTCCGCAACTGAAGTGGACAAAATGTCATATCACAGTGTTTGACAATACTTTTGTAATAGAAGGTGATCTAGCTCAAACTAGCCAGGCACTGACACATCTCATCTCACCTTTCATAGGAGCACAGTTACACGTAATTCATTTTTTACCTTCATTTAACCCTATTGTCCGCCGCTCTCATGGCTTCAGCTATAGGTGAGCCCGACACCGTCCACTCTTTTATGTTGTCTCTCCACTTTTCCTGCCTATATGATCCCCTTTTCGACTTCCTGGCACTGTCACTTGTAGTAACGTTTCTATAAGTCCTGACTTTGTAGGTTCGATTCCCGGATTAGGTACGTTCAGGACGGCGAAACTGGATAAAAGCAGTTGTCTTCCCTGCATGTGACTCTCTGTGACTTTCTGAACCTCATAAGTGATTGTGCATTTGATGCTATAGTGATAACGGAGTTAAAGGAGTGGACCGGTCAAATAGCCCACCAGATGGCAAGACTGGCAGAAGATCGTCAGAAGTGGAAAACCTTTGCTAAACACCATGCTGCCCAAACGGCTGACCAAGCGGCAAGCCATTCGAGAGAGTTGGTGAGTAAACCACATTGACCCATACTTTCCTGCATTACCTTTGTCTAACGACCCTTAATGAAAATATTAAACTACACATATGTCCAACTCTGATATAGGCCATCGATAGAACATAGTACTACCTCTTCTCCTCTTCGCCTTCGACCAACCAGCTAAGCCCGAATTCGTTCCAGGTTGAAGCGATGGTGATCATATCGGACATTATGTTGTCATCGCCCATGTTGCCGTTGTAGTTACCACACAGTCCGCACATCCTATCCCAGTAGTAAGGTGTAACCGTCACCTGTGGCAATATTTCAAAATACGTCATCATCTCCCCCTTAAGACCCTGCTTTCACGTGATTACACATTCAGAACCTTCCCTGACCTAAATTCAAGAGCATTCCGGCTATAGATTTAGGCCACGCCTTCACTTGTGTACGAGTCAAATCAAATTTAAGTTGAATTTGAGTTAAATTTGATTTCCAACACGTCCCAAACGTACACCAGCCAACAATTACCGAACCCTAGTTCCACACGAGAATGTTTTAAACACCTAGAAGAATAAAAGCCACCCTCGCCAAACACCAGCCAACCACAGCCGATCTTGATAACAACCTACTTCTAACTGTGGCTTTAGGAAGTTCAGGAGGACATTTCCAGTTGTGTGTGATAGAGGAAGAAGATAAATTACCTAGAATACCTTATTGAATTGATAGCATGATTTATGTATTGCAATCATATAACAGATGTAAATAGAACTTAGAATGTATGTTATGAATATGTATCAGATTGGGGAATCGCCCCTGTCAGTAACGCGCCTACCTTAACACAATGAATTCCGTCGTAGTAAATGTCCACACAGAACTCTACCAACTGCACATGGACCCACACACCATAGTACGTCACAAGGATCCTGTCCATTGCCAGTGAGAAGGAAACTGTGCGCGGGGATCCGTTCACCTTTTGATAAAAATGTATTTTAGAGGATGGACAATGTAGCACAAAAAGCCAGCTGTCTGAAACCATTCTTAATCATGGATAGTAACAATGTATGTTTAGAAAATCCCATCGCAATGCTATCAATACACTTATGAAAAAATAATGCATAAAGGCTGGAATATAGTATTCATTGGTTAGTTGTAGTTACTTTTGTACCTAAACAGTACAAAAGGAGAAATAATGTCTCTCACCGTCACGACCCTTCCCTGGTGAATTCCGACTTCCTCCCCGTATGCTAATACGAACACCTCGCGCACGACTGACACAGATGCAAGCGGCCCCACGGGTACGTGTTGCACTTCCACAGTAAAGTCGCTGCTGTCTCCGCAGTCCTTGGCGAACGTGTATCTGCACGGGCCTTGGAAATTGTAGGGAGTCCCGTCAAACATGCGTGTGTGTGGATCTCCGCATGAGGTGCAAATTCCCCTCCCTGTCAAACAAACATGACATTGAAATTGTTCAATTCAAAGAACTGCATACTTAGTGAGCTAGCTATAGGTTCAATAAAAGACAAATAAATGTAGTGCAATCGACATTGAAAACTGCAATGCTCAGCCTGGTAACATTTTTCTGATAAAATAAAGAAAAGTGTGTTGCTTTGGATTAAGAAAAACAGTTCCACAACGTTTGAGACACAGTATTCCTTCAGTCAAGGCCAATGTAGATTAGACGAAGACGTCATGAAATATAAAATATTTTGGTGACTTTCATATTAATACAACAGGTAGACATTTCGTTTTATACCCACAAACGCATTACAGATGTACGTTCTGTGGGGGTGTGCATTTATGTGCCGGATGAAAGCACTTAAAAAGTATATCTAAAGACACTGGCGCTACACGTACTAACAATCACAGTATTCTGTTCAACGTAACCTTCCTGAACAATTAGATTTCAAAATAAATTTTGTTTTTGTCACACTATTAGCATTCGTACGCTCACATCAGTTTAAGGGCGCCAAAAGGATACCATCAAAATAACCAAGCTTAATTTGTTACCACACTGACACTGTACAAAATCCTATGTTTAAGCACAGTTGGCGCATCATCAATAAAACGCTTAAAACAACTCCTGTAATCAACCCTACCTAGACCGGGCATTTTTGGGCTTGGTGGGACCGGGGGGAGGCTCATTTGACCCCCCCCCAGAACTCGTGAGCGGTATGTCCTATGACCACCAAATATTTAAAGGATGGTGTACTAGTAAAAATTTATCATATCTACAATTTTTATGTCGTTATGACGTAATATGACGTCATTTTATTGGCCAAAACCGTCTAGATAACTTTACCAAAAGTGTTTATGACAGAATATTAAGGTGTACTTATGGTCCGCCATCTTGGATTTTGGCTAATGACGTCATCAAATTAGCATAAATTATGCATAGTTAATGATAGAATTTACATAAAATTATATGGGAAGTTATTAATATTAGAAACCATGAGTAACTTGACATAAAACCCATTAAATTCTATTGTTGAAACAAAAACTACTAAATTTAGCAAAAAATGCCTGTCAGAAACCCGTTTCCATGGCACCACAAAAAATTAGTATCTTATTCCATTGATAAAGAATTGTTGCCAACAATATTCTAGGAAAAGTCACCAAGTTTGGCCGTTCTAGCCCTAGCCGTTCAGACGCTAAGTGATATCAAATTCGGCGCGGGCACTTCTAGCCCCCCCCGGTCTAAGTAGGGTTAAATGTGCAAAGACTATATAATAATAATAATAATAATATATATGTTATATATAACTAGCTGCCGCTGCCGCGTACCTGCAAAGCTGGTGTGGTACACCGAAGGGCGGTTACCGGCTATACAGATACAAATACACACCTAAAAACACACGCAAATGTTCTCTACCTTCCCTCGCCCTAGCGTGTACCTTAATGCATACTTTAAGATTCGCTTAAAGATGGGCTTTCATGTGGAGGTTACAAATCACGTGTAGATACCTACCTGGAAGTACGCACCAATCGGTCCTGGTCACCGCTATGGAAATGGAAGATATTGAGGGAAACGGTTAGTCTGGCAATAGCTGAAATCTTTGAACTATGGGTCCTGTTTTCTATGGTTATGATTATGACACCTTTATCACTAAACGCGGCAACAACTAATCTGATCGCTACTTCAATATGCCAAGCGGTGAAAAAATCAAGATTTTTCTTGATTTTTTCAGCTGAACATATGCAGATAGTCATATACCAATCATTAAGCATCTTCGGTTAGAATGCTAGAGAGATAAAAAAAATCACTTCTTGACAGGGACTTTTAAGGAAGACTTTTATGTTCACATCCGGTTACCCCCATGACTCTAAAATCCGTTTGCTTATAGAGGCTACATAATGATATAGCCTATTTTCTTTTTGGTTATTCGTAAGATTAAGACTGAAAGAGGATAGTTTATCAGGGTATTGGCTGAATCACAATAAATGCCATATTACTAGAATTGGGAACTATGTCCTAATGAGTCCATATTTAATGATAAAATTTACATAAAATTATATGGAATGTTATTAATATTAGAAAACATGAGTAACTTGACATAAAACCCATAAAATTCTATTGTTGAAACAAAAAGTACTAAATTTAGCAAAAAATTCCTGTCAGAAATCCGTTGCCATGGCAACACAAAAAATTTATTATCTTATTCAAATGATAGAGAATTGTTGCCAACAATATTTTAGGAAAAGTCACCAAGTTTGGCCGTTCAGACGTTAGGTGAAATCAAATTTGGCGCGGGCACTTAAGCCCCCCCCCGGTGTAGGTAGGGTTAATATTCCCTCATAGATACTTTTTAAGTTTGGATGTATTCCTCTGAATTTAACTGAAAAACAATTTTTGATATTACCCCCCCCCCAAGTCACATAAATTACGGCATAGTGACGTCATATGACGATATGTTTTGACACAAAGTAGTTGTAATGTATACATTCCATTACTTCACCATTCTCTTGAAATTTAGTGGCCCTAAATTAAGTGGTTGTTACGTTACATTGTACTGGGGACGGGCCTAAAAAACGCCCTGCTTTGGTCGGAGCATCGCCCAAAAGCTCGGTCTGAATAGGGTTAAGATTATGTAAATGGGACTTTTTTGCTATCTTTGACCAAAAATCTTTGGTTCCTGTGCACTAATATGAAAACCAAATGACCTGAGAGTGCTTGACAAACAATTCTGTCACAGAATACATGTTAACTTGGTTCATCCACTCCTTTAAAATAATCCCAATACCAAGAAATTCGATTGGATTGCTTAACATTTACGACTAACCCATAAAATTACATGTCTTTCGATTGATTACAAATTTTCTTTGAAAGCAGAAGAAGTTACATAATGGGCCTATTTCAGATACTCGTTAAGGTTTTACGCCAAGGAATGAATTCCTATCCCTTATTATTTCATTTCAACATTTCATTTCAACATGTCCTCATCAATTATGAAAATAACCATTAACATAATATATACATAGTGATGTCAACCTTTAAGTAACTTACACATGTAACGAGGTATAAAATTCCCATCATTCACCATTAATAAATCACAAAATTTTTACATTGATTATGCAGGTCATAAGGTCATTATTTGCATAATTAGTATCTGTATATGTTTCACCTGCCATAGATTACATACATCACATGTATAAAAGTACTATCATGTTAAGCGCAGAATTTCTTACTTAATTATGCAAATTTAGCCTTGATTTGCATAATTTGCATTTAATTATGTACATCTTTCTATAAGCTAACTATACACAAAAATAATAAAACTACGCTGTTTCTTTCTTGACTTATCTGCTTTAAAGTTTTTACCAGTAACTAATCTTCAGTTCCAGAACAAGCTGCTAGGGGGAAAAACTTACACCACGTATTCCTTACAGGAAAATCTATCTGTCACCAAAAATCCAAGACCATGTTCAGGACAAAAGATACAAAAACGGGAGGTTCTGCTGCATTACCTGGGTGTAATTGGGAAAATCCTGATCAGTGCATTTTAAGGACGTCTAGAAAAGACCGCCAGAACCCGAGAACCCTCGATGTCTTGTTCGCTAGCCATGGCCACCGGGGAATTCGACGCAGCATTTTAAACAGACGATCAGAATCAGAAGTACTTGACTGAGACATATTTAATTTAACCTAAAACGAACACAACAAAACAGCTGGCCAACAAGGGTAGTAGAAGCCCAAAAGTCATTACTTCAGAAAAACACCCAAAAGGTACATCTTCTCAAGTACATGTCCCAGGGCAGATGATATAAGGACATGCCAGCTACAAAGGTGAAACCAGCTGTACCAGCTTCCATTTTTATCTGGATTTGATGCCGGTATTGTTTGTTTTTATGAACAATCTTTATTCCAGGACTTAGGAAAACACTCTTAGACTAGTGTTTAGACTAGTAGTTTGACCTACATGTAGATATTACCCACACACATTCTATTTGAATTTCACTAAGTTGTAAGCACCTCTATATTGCCCTCTTGTGTCGGGTAACAACAAACAATAAACTGAATAGTGAAAGCGTCAGTGTAATCAACTTGTTAAAAAGCTCGCTCCAACCAAATGACACATATTAATTTTATCGAATTGTTCTTTATGATGTTGTGGAGTATGTGGAAGCAAAAATTGGATGTTTTAAAACAAGTGTTTTTTTTCTAGTCTTACCATGTACATGAACTTGGAGCCTTGTTAATATATTGCTGATAAACCAAGCCGATCTGACTGTCCGGCTAGCAGGTAAAAGTGTAGACAAGCCGTAACTGCTTTGTTATCATCGGGTAGTCTGGTCTCCTACAAGTTAATTCGATGTATTACCCACTTATTCCAACATGGTGATCAGATTTCAGGTCATAAGAAGCCAAGAGTTCAATTTTTGTAATTCTATTTTTGCAGTAACATTTTTAGTTACTGAACGCATGTATAAAAAGTAGACAACATTGTGTCAGGGCCAGAGTGTAAAACATTTCCAACACTTTGCTAGCCCTGTATGTATGAATGTAACTTTTGATTTAACATGTAAGTTATGTCCAAAATTTTAAAATGTTAGATGATATCTCTGTCATAACAATGGTAATAATTCTGGGATCAATTGGTTGTTATAAAGGTTTTACTGACGAATAAAAACATACTAAAATTGGTTAAAAAGAGTTTGTCTAAGGGTCCCGCCCGACACTTAAAGTTTAGAAAATATAGAAATCTAGATGTGCTTATCAATCTAGATTTCTAGATATCAATATATTAGATGTGCTTATTATATCAATATAACACTATTACTAAGTTATTCACGAAGGTTATGGTAGACAATAGTTTTGACCTTGTGCTTAACTAGTTGTCTGATATGTCATCACAATAACCATGTCAAAATAATCACCCAATAAGTTTAAATTACACTTCAAAGTTGTGCTGTGAGGGCAGGGAGGCTCAGGGAGGGAGGGAATAGTATTAACTCTATTGAGTTTGTCTTTGACCTTGTGGCCTTTGAGGGAGGGGAAATGGTCTTAACACTGTTGAGTTACTTTCCGTTCGTATAGAAATGTAGGTGTGACCTAAATATGGTCAGAGAGCTCCCGAATGTCAGCTGACAGCATAACCTGGCTAAATAGCTTTAGACCCGTTGTGAATTATAATAATGAGAGGATGCTCGATGTGTTTTAAAAGGAGACAGGAGCAGAAACTCTTCTCTTTCAAAGGTATCAAAGTTAAGGTTTTACTATTCATATGGTAGTTACAATTTAAGTTCTGTAATCCTGCATACTACGACGCTTATATCACATTAGTAAAAAGAAAAAAAAAACATTTAGTTATAAAATGAACTGTTTATAACACTCCATATGACACTGGTGTCGTTTTTATTCTATTATGACCTTTTGTTACATTGAAAGCTCGAGCGTTTCCTCAGTATGGCGTTCAACGCACAATGAAAAAAAAAATAACAGTTAACATGTCCAAGTTTTTCCGTAACAATAATAACACTAATCGGCGGCAATGTCTTACTGTGACAGGTCAAGCCGTCAGCGGCAAGAAAAAAACCGTCACGGCAGGAGCACTCAAAACTCCCGATGGTGTTGGTACAGATCTGCTCACAGCCACCATTGTTGGTCTCGCACTCGTTTATATCTACAAATTAAAAAGAGTTACAGTCAACATGCTTATTGAAAAAAACCTTGTACTTCCTAAAGCTACACCTGATCCATACATGGTGATGTTTTTCACTTAAAAACTAAAACATTAAGGGTTGCTATGAGACAATACACATGAATTAGGCTGGGTTTGTATAGGACGTGAAAGACTATCATTTCCTGAGTAATGCCTTTGAATTTGCTTCTACGTAACTGATGTTTATTTGAATAATAAGTAGATAAACATTTAAAAAAAGGATTAAAAAAGGAAATTAAGGGTTGTAAACATGTAGTACTAGTATAACAATCCCCCAATCTGATTGGTGACTAGACCTTTGTAGGACGTGTATCACCGTCATTTCTTGAGTGACTTTTTAAAATATGCATTAATGCACTAAGTGGACTATTCTCCTTGTTCTTGTGGTCTTGTTTTCTTTCCTCACCAAGGCAGGAAAAGCCATCAGCGTCAAGAAGAAAACCGTCCCGGCAGGAGCACTCAAAACTCCCGATGGTGTTGGTACAGATCTGCTCACAGCCACCATTGTTGGTCTCGCACTCGTTAATATCTGCGAATTAAAAGTCACAGTCAATATGAATACTAGAAACACCCTGTCTTTCCTAGAAATCTTAGCCCTACATGATTTTTTTCAACCTGCGTTTTCTAAATATCTAAAACCCTAAAAAGTTAATGGTTGTTGTGGGTGAGACAATCATACGCTCTAAACAGCATTTAAAACTTGGTAAGATATCAAAGACTGAAATATAGACGAAAATTTGGAAAATAATAGACATATACACCTTGCCATTCTGTTTTAAGCTATTCATGTAACCAAACTTATGAGTATCCCTGACATAAAACACTAGAATTTTTTTTTAAATCCTCTTTTCATTTCGCAAATTAGCTCATCATATGCATAGCCGTATCTCGTTAGTATGAACATGTAAATATCTCTGGCTAAGTTAACATGCCTTAAAATCATGAAATCGTATTGCCGCTTTATCAAACTCTTGAATTTGAAATGTACTTTTCCAAAAACTCGCCTCAAGCGAAAACCGAAAAGTCCGTAATAATATTAAGGAAAGAAATGGGTATGTAAAGCTGAGCATAGTTAATTTTCGTTTTAACATGTATGTAGGTGTTTTTGAGCGGATAACAATCTTAGCCTTTTTAAATTCATTTATAATGGCATATCTAGCTATTTGTTTGGATTCTACGACTATGAATTTATGAATTTGATATTTTAATAAGTAATAGTAGGACAGACCGACACAGGATGTTCCATCTTCACTTAGAGACTGGCCATCTGGGCAAGAGCACAGCACTTTTTCGGCCGTTTCGATGTAGATGACCATCCGATCGGCTGCTACAATACCCCCTCCTGAATAAAGTAAAATGATACAATTCAATAGAAGATCGGAAAGGTAATTTTTGCTAAGTCACACCTGCTTGCCTCAATTTATATGAAGGCATCCAATGCGATTTCAGCGCAGCAAAACTGGAAATAGTCTAAACTAGAGTTCCTGGATCCCATGCTTTTGTCAGGTGTAGATATTTTGTTTTATAATGTTAATTTTGGAAGAATATAAATATGCAAATATATTTGAATATGACTATGCAATTTTAGTTCTCTGGATATCTTTATAATCGTAACCAAGAGCATTTTTTTCAAATATTCAATCTATTCCGCCAGTCTGAAATCTTGCTAAGGGGTTCGTACATGTATATCTATGGTTGCATTATTCTGTTGTTACAATTATTATTGTGTTGTCTTGCGGACTATCTTGACATTTGCTTCTATTTCATGTGGGACAAGTATCCGAAAAGCTTTGGGACGTGAACTTTATCAGAAAACCATAGACTTTAAGCTTAAACCGTCCTAATGGGACATTCCGTCATGGATTCTGTATCTATCTTGGTGGTGGTTATTTTTGACGATTTAAGAAGACTTATTTTGTATTTAAATAAGGTCCAGATTTTGCATAACATACATTCCATTATTTTTATCTTTACCTCAGGCACCTACTTACAAAAAAACAATGAACAGAATCCACCCGTTCTGCACTTATTTGCAATCAGTCTATAACAAAAACGCCCACTACAGTCCTAAAAAAGCTGCCAGGAGGCCAAAAATTACACTACATAGTCCAAATTCTAACGGCTTTTGACTACTTTAATATCATTACCCTAACACTTCAAGAAAATTTTACTTCAAACTTTGAACATCCACTACAGTACCAAAAACAGCCGCCAAGAGGCCCGATATCAAATTTATTTTTAAACTTGATCTGCGTCTTTCCTGCCCCTACCCAAGCACTAAATGTCATTATTAAGAATTATCCACGTTTTCTTCAGTTATTTTGCACAAGAACAAAACCTCAAAAAGACACAACTCTCTACATTAACGCAACGTAGGAATATGAAACGATAAGCATATTTGATCTTGAACTTTGTTTCTATAACGGCTGCCGCCTACCGAATATCATTAAGATCCATTTACAATTTCTTTAGTTATCCTTTATACATACAATCGACAAATGCAAAACTCCGCTGCAGTATGATTTGAAAAATCCAGGTGGACCATTTTCACAGCTACCCACATGCCAAAAATAGGAAAATTCACAAATCCACAAAAACTCATGTTATGACTACCTTAATACAGAAAGAAACCAGAGCTTGTCCAGCAAAAATCAACCGAAAAATAATTTTCTGAAGCAATACGACAATCTTGTGTTATTGACACATTAGCACATTTGAGTCAGTATTTCATATTATGTGATTCAAAACTGCAGAAACAAGCCCATGATGAGTCCCATATATCCTGGGCTTTATCCTTAAAGTCAGCCAAGGGCCCTTTCAGTATAGTAACTATTTTCCGTCAGAATTTTGGGAATGAGGGTCAATATGCATTGGGATAGTGTGGTTTCAACTCAGTATGTAGATAAAAGGTTAGAATATTGGCTCTGAAAAATCACGTTTGCAAGTTCTAAAAACTGCACTGGATGCCTTTAAGCAACTTGGTGTAGACAACTAAAAAGTCATTATTTTCCACAAATTAGTTTATTCTTGCCGCAAGACAATTTCAAACTCAGAATTCATCAGGCAAGGAAAGTCAAGGTAGAAGTGGCCTGTCTTGATGACACAGGGATGAGTAGAAAAAGTTCAGTAGTGGACGCACCGTTAAAGTTGGCGTAGCCTCCAGTGTTAGAAAAGAGGATGTAGGGTACATTATTATCAGGAGTTTGCTCCCATGGGCAAAATCCGTCCGCACCGCCGTCGGCCACCACCATCCAACCAGCGTCAGCGGGGCAACCATCCCAGTTGCGATTGATGTAAAAAGAACTGCAGCAAAGCAAGACGCGTGACACAATCAATTTAATGGCCACCTTAAAATATTTTGAATCGGAAAATTTCTTGCAAGGTATAGAAAAGCCTTAACGCGGTGTTCATTTATGTTTAAGGCTCAATATTTACCGTTCCAAATTTGGGCTTCCTTCGATCGAGAAGAAGTTTTGAGGCTCAACATCGAGATCGCCCCAAGGAGATGACAAGAGACGAGGCTTGGAGAACCAGTCGAACTTGTTAGTGTTTGTCCCGTCAAAAATCAGCTTTGCATTTCCAGCGTTTGTCTCCAACACAACCCTCACCTGAAAAATGGTGCGGCTTATTGCATACTGCTAGTTTCCACTCCATACCACAGGTATTCATAAAATATCTTAATATTTCATTTCACACACAAGTATTGATGAACTATATTGTTTTACTCATCTCCTCCTCCTTTTTCTCATGCACTTTCGTTAAACGTTTTCATATATATTTTCTTTTTGGAAGGGCAATTGTCCTGTAATTTCGTATGAAGGGAGAGTGGGCAAAACCTAGACAATGTACATTTGAGCTCAATTTGGAGCAATAATATTAAACCTGAATGATGTAAACTTTACGGGTGTTATCCTCTTTCAATGTCTGAAACTAAGTTAGCCCATGATGTATACAGACACTCATAATGAAACTGCAACATATACTTGGAGATCAGATGGACGCGACAGTTGAACAACGTCTGCTGACTATAGGCTGACAGATGTTCCAAGGTTTAACGTGCAATGTTAAGCGCAATCTAACGGACCAGATTCCAAACTAAATATGACAAAAGGAATTTAATTAGTTGATTTTCGGAATTTTTGATAAAAACGATGACACAACAAGGTGAAAAAATGAAAACAGGCCTATGCATCCTATGAGAGCCATATATACCGGACTTGTGGAGCGGCCCTTTGTTTAAACCATATTTGGTCAAATCTGTTCACCCAGCTGTTAAACATATTCTAGTTCAGGGCAAAGGTACACCTGTGCCCTGTTAACGCACCTTCGGCTCGGAACCTGCATCTTGAATTATAGTGTGTTTATACATCCGTAAACTAGTAATGGATACAAGTCCGTCTGCAGCTTCGGGTTCCAAAGCAAAAGCACTCGCCTCCTCGACAGACTTATACAATTAAATATCCCATTCTTTGATATTAACAACCTATCCCATGGTCCTATTGGGTATCTGCTACTTAATGAATCACCTTTACTTTCATCTAAAGTCAACTCTCAAATACTCATAACTCTCAAATACTCATTATTACACAGTTATATCCTTCTAAAACTAAGCGATTTACAACTGATTTATACTTCTGTAATCATTTATAATATCTTAAAAGCTAAACTCTGTTCTCTTGTTATCTGGACGATACCCATGTTTTGTGTTGTAATTTTTAAACTATGTCTAGTGGTGACGTGGGTATAAGATTTTTGCTTGAGTGTGTCACCACTATGTTTTGTATTTGTGCATGTTGAAATTAAAGAAAAAAAAGAATAATATAACTTGTAATCAAACTACTGCATTTATAGATGGAAAACCAATGCGACACTAAAGAGAAGGGGCATTATTTAACTGTTGGGGCCAAAGTATGAGCATTTGTAGTCGGTTTAAAGCCTAAAGTTGTGGTTTTTTCCAAGTCAGAACCAACCACAATAGTACTCACAAAATAACAAACAAGAGTATACACTGCAATACTTGTAAAGGAGAAACTTACCCGTAGGATGTCAAGCGATTCCCAATGATCTACCACTGGACATTTATTGTGGAGGACTATTGCACCAGGACCAGCTCTCCAGGCGTCGTAAACAGTTTGTCCTGTTCCTTTCACAGTTGAAAAAACTTCAAGCCATTCAGCTGCGAAGAGTGCACAATTACTAAACGTAAGGTCATTTACGGACAAACTCGCCAAAATTTTTGAAGATGTTTAAAACATTCGGGTGTTGACGGGAGAGTTAGCCAATGTTGACCGGTGTTTGGGATCGGAGTAGTAAAAGTAATAAAAGTACAATGTGGTGTTTATCACAACTCAAAACCTACCAGGACCCCCTGCTCCAATAATTCTATGAACCACCCTGAAGTTGGCGCTTGCTACAAGCAATTATTTGTCACCCTGATAAACACACTCTCCCATTCCAAGCACACTGAAATAACCTGGACGAAACATCTGACCTGCTGTGTGCACTGAGAAAGAAGCTACCAAGAGACGACATCCTACTCAGACTATACAAATCCTTCAGAAGGCCAGGCCTGGAGTACGCGGACATCGTTCAGATGGTACTCAGCAAGAGTGATAAAGGGAAACTGAAGCCAGACCAGTATACAGGGATACAACATTTGGCCCGGAATTTTCCTGATGCCAGATTCCTATCGTTTGACAATTGTCCTGACCCTGTCAGTGTGAAAAAAAACAAACATCTGGCGATTGTAGAGGTTTAAAGGTTAGACTGTCTGGGAGGAGTGCTAGATGTGTATTGTTATTGACAATGGATTCCGTGTTTCGAGGAGTATTATATATATATGGACATTACATTAGTGGACTGGCGAGAGAGGGTTTGGGACCGG